GGGTAGCATATATATATATGTATATATATATATATATATAAACCCCAAGATCTGCCCGCTCCTCTGAGGTCCAGAAGAGCGCATGGCTCATTGCCTCCAAGGGCGCCAGGATGTTCGCAAAGCGGGCAATCTGGGAGCCCGTCGGCGCCTCGGGTTAGGGGTTCGGGGTTTAGGGCGCAGGTATGGGGTTTGGTTCTTCGGACTTCTTGGTTTTGGGGTTTAGGGCTTTAGGATTTTCGGGCGTAGGGTTGAGGGTGAGCCCGGCGACGTCTTAATGGTTGATTCAGAACAGGGCTTTTGGTGCGTCATGTTGTTTTTTTTCAAGCTGCTTGTTTTAGGGTTGTATATCTCCCATACAGGACGTTGACAAGGTTTTTTTGGGGGGTTTATACCAGTTGATACCTTCAACCGTTCGAGTCTAAAGTACAGAGAACCCTCGCCCGCCCGGCTAACAGCTGCACAGCGTTAAATCTGGGGGCATCAATAATTAGAATAGGGCTTTGGGGTATGTGACCTACGGTACGTGATACTACAAGTGCAATGTGGAATCCTACGGGCTTTGAGATTGAGTGCTTCGGGCTTAGTATAGAGTCTAAGGCTATAAAAGGTTTTAGCGGGATAAATACAAGTGCCTGACTGCGCGCTTGGGGCGTATCAGAAGCACACCATGGACAGCACTCTCATGTCAGAGCTTCAGAATATCACGGGGCCCTGACTGTAGACCCTCAGCCGTAGCTTCAGTAGTCGAAGAGTCCTCAAAAAGACTTTAAGATCAGGGTTAAGGGTTCCTGAAAGTTCCCAACATTCAGAAACCTTCGTATGCAGCCCTGGACACACACACACACACCACAAAGCCCTATAAAATCTTCAAACATGCAAGCCTGACCATGCAGCTCAGAGCCCTACCCAAACCTTCTCCCACACCTTCAGAAGGAATCCTCCCTAAACCCTAAACCCTAAACCCTAAACCCTAACCCCTTCCACTGCAGCTTCGGGGCATGGATCGGGCTTGCCAACACCCAGATCTTCTCCCCAACCTTGCGGGTGACCTTGTGATTCGATAGGGGGTCTAGGATTTAGGGTTTAGGGGCCTTGACCTGGGGTTTTGTGGCAGGGTTCCTATGATAAGGCTTCCTCTAAGGGCTCCTATAAGCTAGGACTGTAGAAGGTTTAGGGTTTAGGGTTTAGGGGCTACAGTAGAAGGTTTAGGGTTTAGGGGCTACAGTAGAAGGTTTAGGGTTTAGGGTTTAGGGGCTACAGTAGAAGGTTTAGGGTTTGGGTTTAGGGGCTACAGTAGAAGGTTTAGGGTTTAGGGTTTAGGGGCTACACTAGAAGCCAGAAACTTGGAACATCAATATCCTCATGTGCTTGAGGTGACGCAGAGGGAGTCCTAGCAACAATAATGCTACCTCCATGCTCCAAGTTTTGGGGGCTCACTGTAATCTGAACCCTAAACCCCAAACCCAAAACCTGAATCCTACGCCCTGAAACCCTAAACCCTTACGGTATGGAGAGAGTGTAAGGGTTTAAGGATTTAGGTTTACATTTTAGGGTTTGTGGGATGTCGGATCTAATGCTCCAACCCTCAATCTATACTTCTACTGAAAGGATCAAGGGGTTTAGTAGAAAGAGATCTACGTACCGTATCACTATACATACCCTACTACAACCCTACTTGTCAAGTCCCTGGTTCCAGGATCAATCTTTCGACGGGCCGAAAGCAGTGGGAGAAGCGCTTGCGGAGTTGAGGGCTTAGGGCTTTAGAGCCTTAATAATTAGAATAGGGTTTTGGGGAATGTTACACCTATGCTTATAATAAGGAACCCCCAAAAAGGGTTTTGGGGAATGTTACACCTATACTTGTAATAAGGAACCCCCAAAACCCTATTCTAATTACTAAGGCACCTATATTATGCTACTCTTGAAGTCAAGGTGTTCTTGCCGTCTTCTCCCTCCGTAGCGGCAGAACTAACCCTGGCTTCCCTAAGCCGCTAGACTGTCAGAGAAGGAAAGGTTGGAAGAACGGGGATTATTCAAAACATCAACGCCCCGACATTAGTTCAAATGAACCAAAACAGGAAGAAAATTCGGCACTCGAGCGATGCTCGTCCGAGCGGCACGGGCGATGCCGTGCTGACAAGTCACCTGGCCAGGTCTGGGACAGTTTTCAAGGATACGGGCTTTACGGTTTAGGGTTTACGGTTTAGGGTTTAGGCGTTCTGCTGAATTTCCGTATCCAGTCTGTTGATAGGAACCATGCTAGGGGAAGGGTTTAGGACTTCGGTCCAAGGCTCAGGGTTAAAAGGATAGAAGGTTTACATAGGGTTAGGGGCTTCGACTCAAGTTCAACAACTTTGGGATGTTACGTGCTTAAGGCAAGATCTACTGCAGGGGTTCTGTAATGCAATATAGGGGATACGAAAAGGGCTGCTACAAAGGGTACGATCCCTTTTAGCACCACAACAGCGGTAGCAGCAAGAACAACGACAAGGACAAAGACGGCGTGGACCCCTAAACCCTAAACCCTACACCCTAAACCCTAAACCCTAAACCCTAAACCGGGCATTTGAGTCCGGATGCGGACCCGAAAGTTGGCTACGTCAGCCTCTCGGGTCCTGCTGTCATTCTGTTCCGTCAGAGGCTACTTGGAGGATCAGGGACTTAGTAGCTAGAGTTGTAAGTAAGTTAACTATAATCATAAATTATAACCCCAATTAGGGCACTTATAACCCCAATTAGGGTACTTAGAACCTTACTTACTAAGTCCCATGATCCTCCAAGTAGGTCTTCTAGTCGATTGGTCTCTTCACGACGCCCTGGGTCTTCTGTCCTGGCTGGCGTTGAAAACTGCTGAACTACACATCGGTGCTCCAACCTTTGAGTGTCTGGGTTTAGGGTTTAGGGTTTAGGGTTTAGGGTTTAGGGTTTAGGGTTTAGGGTTTAGGGTTTGGGATGCGATTTTCGCCACACATGAAGCTTAGACCCAGGAGCTGTAAGGCCGGAAACGCTAGCCCGGAACTCTAATTTTTCACCTGTGGCAATCCCGAAAACCGTCTTCCCGAAAGTGCTGCCTATCTGACCTTCATCAATGCTAATCCGATAGTCCCGTCGAGAGCCCGTAGATCCACTAGGTTTGCCTTTGGCGCCTGGGCTTGAGGATTTATACAAGCGGTCATGAGGACTGTCACGAAGCGAGACACTGGGCGACCAGGCGGATTCCAATTTAGAAGGACCCAGAGAGCCCAATACCCCTTAAATAAGGAACATACCTTAAATTATAGGGGCCCTAATATTGTGATTTAAGGTATATTCTTTAATTAAGGGGTATTGGGTTCTCTGAGGATTTCGGGTTGCGCGCTTAAGAGCTCCGCCTTTCGGAGCTCGAGCTGGCTTAGCAACCTAAGCCACAGAGGCCGGGCGTGCTCAACCCAAAGACCCCAAGCGCCAACAGCAGCAAGAAACCGCGTAGAGTCAAAACATCCAAAGCCCCGCCTCAACCCCCAAAATGTCAATATGGGAGCTTTGAAAATTTTCATATGGTTGCTTAGACCTTTAAAAGGTTACTCTTACTATAAGGGGCTTATCATAAGCGTTAACAATTCGAACAGGGTTTCGAGGCATATGTTATTCTGGTAGAGTTATAAACGGACGACAAGGGAGATATAGTGATGTATACTATTCCGTCGAAATCAACGGAACAGTTAAACCTGGAAACTACACAGCAAGGGACCGGACCTAGGAAGTATGCAGACTGATATGTTACACCCCCACCACATGTAACCTCCAGACCCAGACCCCATGAACCCTGCAGACCGGTTTCAAAAAGCATCGCAAGTCTCCGAAACACCAAAAGGTCAACAAGGCCTTGAGGCTGTAGGTCAGGCTGCTGTAGATCGGTGGGTTGAAGGGTTCTCCTGGCGAGGGGGGGGGGGGGGGGGGGTAGTAAGCTCCGGCGTTTAGCTTAGCGTCATGGGGACGGGGACTGTTTCGGGGCTTAGCGTCATGGGGACTGTTTCGGGTGTAGAAGGAGGTTGAGGGTTTAGGATGGGGCAGGTGAGAATGAGACGCTTTTGGGCATAAGGGGTTTCTTGCAAACGCATGCCACACATATCTCCTGTTGTACAGAATATGCGGAATGAGAAACAAAGTTTCAAGCGGGTGGCCTTCTTTACATGTGAACGGAAAGAGAAACGTTGTAATATAAGTCCGAAAATAGGATACTGAATATGAGGACGCTGAAATTTTAGATTACGGCACCCATCTTAACGGGGCGTGCTTACAGGATCGGAGGACTCAGAGAACTCATCAAGTGGGGCTACCCGAATCTGAAGTGAGCTGTAAGTCATTTAGCAATATTAGGGAGGATGATAGTAATGACTGCAACTGTAAAGCTCACAAGAGACCATCACAGAAACAGACCAAATACACAACTTCAGTGACAACCACAGCCGCAGCAGCACCACCACCACCACCGCCACCGCCGCCACCACCACCACCAACACCACCACCACCACCAACAACAACAACACCAACACCAACACCAACACCAACACCAACACCAACGACAGCAGCAACAACAGCAGCGACAACAACAACAACCACAACCAACAACCAACAACCACAACTAACAACCAACAACCAATCAGAACCCAAGCATTAGGTCATTAGGCGACAGGCAACAAGCAACGACCACACCAACACCGGCACCTGCGCCCACACCACAAACACCAACACAAACACCGACCCCAACACCAACACCTGCAAACACCACCAACCCTCACAACAACAACAACAACAACCAACCAACCAACCAACCAACCAAACCAAACCAAACCAAACCAAACCAAACCAAACCAAACCAAACCAAACCAAACCAAACCAAACCAAACCAAACCAAACCAAACCAAACCAAACCAAACCCAACCAAACCAAACCCAACCCAACCCAACCCAACC